CCCCAATTTTGATTACATACAGATTTTTAGAGAAATCTCTTGGATTTTTTTCCCCAAACCCAGCTTCAAATGTATTTTATGTCTCAGAGCTGGGTTGTGAGGAAATGCTAAGTTCTCTGCCCCCTCCTCTCACTGAACTGTCCAATGCTCTCACCTCATTGCCCTGCTCCACCTGAGATGATGTACCCTCCATCTTTTATCAAATAAAAGTACTACAGATTTTTAATCAAATTTACAGATTTCTGAAGATCAGTATACAGGGTAACGTATGAATGTACATGCTCAAACCCCTCCACAACCTACCACACTCATCCTTGACTTGGTCCCAGAGAGCCATGATTGGTGAGGCCCAAGTATGGTGCACTCTGATGCACTTGAAACGTACAGTCATGTGAACATACCGCTGACATATAGTGTGTTGAGGATGTGAGAGAACATCTCAGATGTCCAGCATTGTGTCTGCATTCACACAGGTGGTTTTCCAAATTGGCTGTTATTAACCACATCCTACATCAAGTAGTTCACTGAACATCTCTGAGCGTTATTATCCTGTGTGAAGTGAAATTAGTGTTTTAAGAAGCTGGAGTGTTGCAAGATCCTGTAGGTGGGTTTGTTCTCACAAATGGGTTTTGACGATGGTTTAGTGGAGTGGTTTCCAACCTAGGGGGCGCCAGAGTGTGCCCATAACCTTGTCTGCTGAGAGGTTGCTCAAAGTTTATTTGAATAATTAAAACTCTGTATAACTTAATAACATAATCTTCTTTTTATTACATTTTTTTAAATAATAGTAACTATTCACTTTATTCTTTTATTTTGATGAAGAGATAAAGGTTGAACATGTCTTTTGGGAGAGATGGGGAGCTGCGAGGGATTGGGGAGCTCAGCTTGGCTTGGAAGTAAGAAATGGGGGATTTGAGGGAAATAGGTTAGAAACTACTGGTTTAGTGTATCAGAGCCCTCATCTAACGACTCCCCCCCAATCTCCCTCACAAAACACGCACACAACATTTTACATGTTCAATAGTCTTAGCTCCACACTTCCACCCTCTTGTTTCAGTTAAGATGCTTCAGCATAAGAATAGAACTTCAAAAGAGCATTTTTTCTCTGATTGACCACAACAAAACAGGACAGGACATTTCAGAATGAAGAAAATAAAAGCAGAACAGTCACAGAATCACAAATCACAAAATCTTTGGGGTCAAAAATCAAACATTGGATTCATTTTCTATAATCAAACTTTGATCATAATTAAAACAAAGCCTCTTCAACACTAAACTTGTCTCTGTAGCTTCAGGAAAAGTCATGGCCTGTATTTGAACATTTATGATATTTACAGAATGTAAAGCCACCAGCTATTTGCTGAGTTCCATCCTCTCCACTCCCTCTGACATTGTTTCTCTGTGCTTTTGCCTATTTTCCACAGCTTGAGTAAACACTGCCAACTCTTTATTAGCACTCTCATCACAGTCTCTCTTTCACTCTGTGTCTCTTTCATCCCCTCTCACTCTGTCTCTGTGTGTCTCTGTTTAAACAGATGAATGTGATTAGAGCCAGTTTAAAACGACATTGGAAGTTTGTGTGTTTAATGAGTCAAATAAAAAGGCACGGTAATGCTGTAGGCCTTATTATGATGTATTTGTATGCTGATCTGTGTATGTGGGGCACTCTAACATCTCTGCTGTGTTTATTTGATTGTGCAGATAATCAGATGATTGACTGTAAAATCTGGCTTAAGTAGTGATATTCTCCTCTGACACAGCATGGCATGCAGCTACTAACATGTCTGTGCTTAAGATGTTCTTCTGAAAGGAATATTTTATTTTTCTTATGCACTAGTATCCTATAGTAATACACAAAATAATGCCATTTTAAAGGTCAAAAATGAGTGTGTTGTTAGATTTTGTTGTCCTTTTTAACTAGAAGAGACAATATCCATTTCTATAATAGGCATTAATTGTTTTTTGTTTAACTAACATGTTTATAACAACTTGATACTTCTCATTTTCTAATTACAAAGTTTTTTTCACGTAAGAACAGGCTTCAAGTAGATTCAAAGGTACAATGACAAATGCAGAGAAGACTAAAAATATGAATTTAGTGTGCAAAAATGCAGTTGTGCAAATCTTAACTTTTGTCATTCGCATGCACCAAATTTGCAGTCTTGTAGAAACCTTAAGGAACTCAGATAAAAACTAGAAAATTTAGTTAACTGTACTTTACTTGAGTAATTATTTTTCAGACGACCTTTTACTTCTACTCATTAAATTATCACACATTTACATGTACTTTCTACTCCTTACATTTTAAAAATGCAAAACATTTTTCATTTCTATTTTACTTTGGTCTGTTTGGCAGACCTATTAAGATGAAAGTGGCTATATATATA